CTATCTATCTATCTATCTATCTATCTATCTATCTATCTATCTATCTATCTATCTATCTATCTATCTATCTATCTATCTCCCCATTCTTTCATGCACATTTTTCATATGTAATCTTTGTTCAATGTGTTCTTCCTGTTGCACAATGCTAATCATCTTGGGGAAAAAATGTAAGCTTTTGATAGCAATTTGTGCCTGGTTCTGCTTTTCATTTTGGAATGTATAAATTGGGTGAGTTTGGATTAAAAACAAGGTGAGATGACTTTCTCTTTATTCTTAGAAATAAATTTATTTATATTCTTAATATATGACTTTCTCCCAAAAAGAATTCTAGTACATATTATGCATGGATTTAGGGACACAGTTTCATCCACCAGCAAAACTCCAGTTAAGGAGGGAAGGAAGGTGTGAGAGATGGACAGGTGGAAATGGACATGAGAGGAAATGGACATACTGAACTGAAAAAGAAATGGGCATACTGAATGAGGGGAAATGGACATACTGAACTGTAGCAACAGATTGTTGAACACTGAGGGAGGAAGGGTTTCTGTGAGAGAGAGGAGGGGGAGAGAAAGAGACACACACACAGAGTTGACTCTTCCATAAAACCATGAAAAAAAGGAACCTTACAAAATTTAATCTCCACTGCATTTAGCTCTGAAGTTTTTCCTGAGAACAGCAAGTATTTCAACATTCTGTTTAGACTCTAAATTGAACTGGGCAGAACTGGAATATTTAGTCTCATTGACAGCAAACACCTAGTAAAAGACAACTGACACACCTGGGACTAGATTTCTGAAGTGTGTAGCAATCACGTTTCTTTGTTTCTCATGTCCAAAGCAGGCAAAAGTATCATGGCTTATTCCCCAAATCTGAATCCCAGTCTCTCTGCTCCTGGTCCTGCTTTGACTGCAACACCAAACAAAAGGTCTTACAAAAGATTGTGACTTTATTGAGTCAATCCATCTCATCTGCTGGAAAACAGTTCTCCTGTATTGGGGGGAAGTCCGGCAGAAATCAATCAATCAATCAATCAATCAATCAATCAATCAATCAATCAATCTTTATTTTGCGGTCTCCGACCCATTAAAATACATACATGTAATATTTAAAATAGGTGGAAGTGATTAAAACATTTCAAGACAGCTAAAACCATAAAAATTGATAAAATAGATTACCCACACATTGGCTTGTTATCTTTGTTTTTTAATGACAGGGTTAGGTAGAGATCAAGATTGTTTTTCATATTCTTTGGGCAGATAGAAGGAATTTGGCCACTGATTCAGTGGTTATCTTGTTTGTGTCACTTAATAAATATGTTGTATGCCAAATCAGAGTCCTACCTGGGAAGACATTCATTATGGGCTTGAGGAATTTGATGTGCTCATTTCTGTAAAAATTTCACTCAAAAAGGACGTGCTTCAAAGTTTCAATTTCTCTATCCTTACAAGGGCACAATCATTTTTCATAAGGGGTGCCAGAATATCACCCATCTAAAATTGCAGATTGGAGAAGTTAAATTGGACTCTGTATTTTGGGATACTCAAATTCTCTAAATACCTAGCACTTTGGGAGAAATTATAGTTTAGGCCAAGGTGCAAGATGGAGCATGTTTTGCGAGCCATTGAAATAGAATACTGAAAGTCAATCTCCCTGACCCGCTTTTCCAAGATAGAGTTGGCTGCCTTGGATTCCTGGGCATAAAGAAAGTCCAGAGAGAGCCCTAATAGATGCAGTTTGGCTGGAAAAGCTTTAACCCATGAGCTGTTATGGACATCTTTCTGTAGAAGGTTAAGATACCCATAGAGGGATCAGCATGTATTACCTTGTTCTAATACAACTCGAATCCACACCCCTTCTCCTCAGAATCCTCCTAAGATGAGAGCCACACTAGCCCCTCAGATGGGGCTCCTTCGTCAACCCCTCAACACCCCCAAATTGTTTGGAAACCCCAAGCGGGGTTGAGCGTGAAAGCAGGAGAGCCATGGAAGACAAGGCACCTTGCTGTGAAGGGAGGGTGGCCGTGGCAGCTGTGGTCCTTTTCTTCCATGATGATAACACACATACAGATGGTAACTGCATATTTACATTTTCACAATATGCAAAGTCTATGCACATCTGTGAACCAGTCAACTTTGAAAGGGAAGAAACATCAGTGTTAAAGGTTATGAGCCTTCTTCACTCAACCTTGGAAGTTTTGAAAGGCAGACTAAAGGAGACATATATTTCACTAAAAGTCAGGGGGATGTTAAGAAGACTTAAGGAAAGTGGTTGAAAAGAAGAGTGTAATAGTTTTATGGCAGATGTTGGATTGGTGTATGAAGCATGCATTAGTTACTTAGAAAAGTGGATGAAAACTTTTGATGAATTTCAGTGTTTGGTCAAATGTACTTAAGTAAAATCAAAGACAGAACATTTGATGACCTTTGGACATGCATATCGTATCTGAAAGAGCAGGGTATTATTGTGGATGATGTGCAGTTCTTTGACCAATACTGCACTCTTAAATCATTTGTGCAAGACAAGAATGAACAGTTTTTCGAAAGACTCTTGCATGAACAGTGGAGTTTATTTTTCCAAAGGTTCTCAAATGCAAGTTGCTTTTCAGAGTTACTTAAAATTTGTGAATTATTCTATATTCCTGGACACAATGGCAATGTGGAAAGACTGTTCTTCTTGATTAATGCTCAATGGACAAAGGAAAGGAACAGACTTAGTTGACTCTGTAAAAGACATCATTCTCACAAAGTACAATTTGAAGAATATTACTTATGAACAGCTTTATGCATATGTGATTGCTAATGAAGATCTGCGAAAAGTTGGCTCCTCTGAGAAATATGTTGTGTAATTAATAAAAATTATAAGGTAATAATTGTACAATTAGCTGTTTAAATAATGTTCTTTGGTATTTTGTAAAAAAGCCTCCATTGAATTTATTTTTATTTTTTAACATGGCTGTTTCTTGGTCAGTTCACTAAGAGACATTTATTGGCAGCAATTGTAATAAAATTGTATTGATTGCGGGTTTAATCTGGAATGATTCAAATGAAAAATTCAATATGTCCTCCTTTTGGTACCAATGTATTTGGCAAACCTACACCAGTGACTTTAAACCAGTTCTACCATCCAGTTCCATAAGTTTTCTCCTACAACCCTCTATTATATGAACAGACATCTGGGTTTGGCAGAAGGCACAACATTTCAGTGACTTCCTGGACTTCATTGCATGAATGGGTTTCTGGCTTGACTATA